TGTGTGTGTGTGTGTATTTATATCTGTGTGGGGATCAAAAATTGGAAGTTTACTATACTTGTGGGGACCAACAGCCATTATGGGGGTCAAAATCCAATCCCCACAAGTTTGAAGGGATTTTTAAGACTCAAAATATGGTTTTAGTGACAAGGTTACGGTTAGGGTTAGGGGAAGGCTTAGGGTTAGACATCCATTTTTCATGGTTAGAGTTAGAGTAAGGGGCTAGGGAAAGCATTATGTCAATTAAATGTCCCCACAAGATATGAATACCATGTGTGTGTGTGTGTGTGTGTGTGTGTGTGTGTGTGTGTGTGTGTGTGTGTGTGTGTGTGTGTGTGTGTGTCTATTTTTATTACGGTAACAACATCAAACCTATATGCTACCACATTTGCTGGCTCCAAAAAGCCACTCTCCAGTTATTGTGATGTTGTGTCTGCCTGTGTGTGCGCCTTCGTTGGTTGGCTACTCCCTCTCTACCCGAATCTGCACCTCGCCCTTCAGCACAGTGATGCTGAGATCACTTCGGGAGGGCGGTGCAGAGGGAGAGCTACGTGTTGCTGCTCAGCAACAGATAGAAAGGAGAGAGAGAGAGAGAGAGAGAGAGAGAGAGAGAGAGAGAGAGAGAGGAATTCCCTCGCAGAAATAAAAGCGTCTGCCAGGGCGTGTATCAGTTCCTATGGTTCCCAGAATTTCCTGTGATAAGTGTAGCCGATACCTGTAGCAGGAGGAGGGGGAAAGCCCAATGGATGAAGGATGTAAGGGCTGCCATCTACAACAAGCCTTCGGGTATATTTGAAGATCTTTGCCTGGAGGCGAAATTATATTTGATATCGCGCCGACTGCGCTTGAAATAGGCGTCCACCTCTACCAAATAAACCTGGCACAGAGCCGCTTCTCTGGAATCCAGTGAACAAAGGTCTCGGCGTTTGTTGCAGGCGCGCAGGTTACCCACAAACTAAAACGTGCCATCACTGGAGCTGAAATGCTGTTGAGTCTTCTTTCCGGAGGATTCGGTGAACTGGACGCGCTTTAAAGTAAGTTCTTACAGTTGTCTTTGTTTCGGCGCGGCTAAAGCCGAAATCCTTCCTGTTTTCTTCTCGTTTATTTCATAGAACCCACGTGGCTCTAACAAAGGCTCATCACTTTGGTCTTTCACATTTAAAAACAAGGTTTATTAGCGTGTGAATTGATAAAACTGCAGTTCGAAAAACAAAAACTTCCTCTTGTGTTTTCCGCTTTGTGTCTGCCTTCTGTCGCCCATTCTTTCTGTCTCTCTGTGTTTCGTGTGTCTCTGTGTATTCCTCTCTCCAGATATGACAGGTCAGGTCCTGGGGGAACCGTGCGGCGGGGCTCACACGGATGAAAACGCCGCCATCCGCATCAACGTGGGCGGCTTCAAGAAACGTCTCCAGTCGGACACTCTCTCCCGGTTTCCCGAGACGAGGCTCGCGCGTCTGCTCCACTGCCAGTCTAAAGAGTCCATCCTGGAACTGTGCGATGACTACGACGACACGGAGAAAGAGTTTTACTTCGACAGGAACCCGGCGCTCTTTCCCTACGTGTTGAATTTTTACAACACGGGGCGGCTGCACGTCATGGCCGAGTTGTGCATCTTCTCTTTCAGTCAGGAGATCGAGTACTGGGGCATTAACGAGTTCTTCATCGACTCCTGCTGCAGCAGCTCCTACCACTGTAGGAAAATGGACCAGGACCGGGAAGACTGGGATGACCGCAGCGATGAAGGAAGCACCACTTCATCTTTTGACGAGCTGTTGGAGTTTTACAACGACGCCTCCAAGTTTGATAAGCAGCTGTTCGGGAGCGCACGGAGGCGCATCTGGTTGATGCTGGATAACCCCGGCTACTCCGTGGCCAGCCGCATCATCAGCATCCTCTCCATCCTGGTGGTGCTCGGCTCCATAGCCACTATGTGCATGAACAGTATGAGTGAGTTCAGCCTGCTGGACAGCGAAGGCCAGCCAACAGAGGACCCACGTTTCGAATCTGTGGAACATTTTGGCATCGGCTGGTTCACTCTGGAGCTGGTGGCCAGGTTCGTTGTGGCGCCAGATCTGCTGCACTTCTTCGATCATCCGTTAAATGTGATAGACCTGGTGTCCATACTTCCGTTTTACCTGACACTTCTCATAAACCTGGTGGTGGAGAGCAGCCCCGCACTGGCAAATCTAGGACGCGTTGCGCAAGTGCTGCGGCTGATGAGAATTTTCCGCATCTTGAAGCTGGCCCGTCACTCCACGGGGCTCCGCTCCCTGGGAGCCACACTTAGGAACAGCTACAAAGAAGTGGGGCTTTTGCTCCTCTACTTGGCAGTCGGGGTGTCGTTTTTCTCCGTCATGGCCTATACGGTGGAGAAAGAGGATAACGAGGATCTCACCACCATTCCGGCATGCTGGTGGTGGGCCACGGTCAGCATGACTACCGTGGGATACGGTGATGTGGTGCCGGTGTCTATAGCCGGCAAACTAACCGCCTCTGCGTGCATCCTGGCCGGGATCTTAGTAGTTGTGCTTCCGATTACGCTCATTTTCAACAAATTCTCCCTCTTCTACAAGAGACAGAAACAGCTGGAGATCGCAATGAGAAGCTGCGACTTCGACGAGGGGATAAAAGAGGTGCCCTCGGTCAACCTGAGGAATTATTACGCACACAAAGTCAAATCCCTCATGGCGAGCTTGTCAAACATGAGCCGGAGTTCACCCAGTGAACAGAGTTTAAACGAATCAATACACTGAAACAGGACACTCTGTCAGTCAGGTCGGGTGACGCTGTTCAATACATGTGGCCTACCGAGGAGCTCTCCAGAGTGCTGAAATTCTCTGGACTGAGAGCCTGCTTCCTTCCACTGATGTCTGACCGTTTGCCTCTCTGTAGCTCAGTGCAATAATGTGTTCATTTCTGTGTCTATCACAATGAAAAAATAAGCAAATGTACAGCCTGAACATCACGTCTGTGCACTAATACGGCCGCTCAACAAACAGGCTAAAAATCTGACCCCATCTGATGAAAAAGACAAAGAATGCTGTAGTTGTTTACAGTGTCACACTGTAGTCCACTTTCCAGCTATACATGTTGTATAAGTATGTCTGAAGTAACTGTATCTCTTTCAAAAGAGTCTCGATGTATAATTGTGGTGTTGCAACAGTACTTCAGATGTGTGGTTAAAGCAAAGTGTATTAAATATACAATCAAGCAAACAGAAAAATACATGACATACTTCCTTGTTTTTTTAATACGAGAGTTAGGGTCTAACTCTGATCCTGATTGAGGGAACACATGTAAGCCCGAGGGTTGGAAGGGGGATTTATAGCAGCAAAGTGACTGACACAATATCTGAAACAGTTTGACAGGCATGGCAACAGCCATTCAGAGCTGACATGTTGAATAAATCTATTCGCTAAGGATTTGATTTTTTTTTTAATGGCATCACCATTTCAGTTCCCAAGAGACAATTTTAAAATATTAATCAGTACATGTTCTAAAAAGACTATAAAACTATGGTCATAAAATAGAAGTTAGTCCACAGTAAGGGAGAACTGAAGAGAAAGTTCAGTAGTTAGTTTATGGTTATCACTGCTCTCCAGAGAATACACCATAGAGATAAAGTTCTAGTTTTACTTATCTCAGTGCTACGTTTCAATTAATTTTTTCACAGAAAGCAATTTGTCTCCAGCCCGTAAACTCAGAAGATGAATGGCTGTGACAAACCTGCATATTTCTTTCTTTTTTTTCTCCCTCTTCTTCTTACTGTGTCCAGATAAAAACAAGTTTTATGATCCCACAGGGGGAGCATGCAGCTGTTTGGACCCCTCTCCCTTTTTCTGGTCAGCATTTGCGATAAGGAGCTATCCCACTGGACGCAATAACAGCAGCAGAAATTCAACAGAGAACACTCACTTAGTGTTATTGATTTCAGTTTAAAGGGTAAAGAGCTATTTGATACAAGTAGGCAGCAGCTCTTTAAAAAAACCAAACAAAAAAAAAAACAGATGAAAAAGTCAGTTTTGCATCATCTCATATTTCAGAACAGTTAACTGCATCGATTTCCATCTTTTTAATTTGAAGGCCATTTTTATTTTGACACCAGTTCTTAAAATGAGAAATGATCATTAATGCTTTGAGCTGAATCCTCTCCACATCATTGTGTAGCTGTGACTGGTAAAATTGTCACTTAATCAGTGTCAGTATTTTGTTTGTTTTTATTCATCGTACAAATAATTCATACATGCATGCACATTTCAGTGACTCGAACAATCAGACTCATTTGCTCCTGTGGCAGAGAGATAATTTGAAATTCATTGTCTCAAGATTAATTTGAGCAGACAGGCAGAAGGATTTTACATATTGCTGCTCATAACTAATTAGTCTGAGCACAGAAAAACCACACATTGCAGCTCAGTCACTATCACCTGGTGTAAAGGATAATCCCAACAATACCAAAATATGTTGTTTTGTTTTTTTAAAGAATTATGTATTATTGTACAAGTTTAAATAATGAAACATGTCTTCAAATATCAAAGAGCTTTCAGGTGTACAAATAAGGTTATGGCACACATTTGGCAGAATAACTGAGCGACACAGAGATCATTTCACTGCATTTCAGCCACGAAGTTGTGCTCACATTTCAAATCCTAATGAGAAACCTGCGTATATCCAGCATCTTCTCCCAGGATTTCTGGGGAGCTCATTTGAAATAATATTTACCCTCAGAGTCCAATTATATCAGTCTGCTTTTGTTTACTCCTAAACCTTTAAAGACTTTTCCCCCTGGGACAAAATCCAAAACGCCACTGCAGCACCCAACCAGCATGGAAAAATCAGTAAATGAGTACACAGTGACAGCGGGTGACATTTTAACATATCAACAAAGGGCCAACCCAAAATAAGAACAACAGTCAATCTTTTCCATCTCAGGGAGAAGAAAGTAATTATAGAATCTGAGAGAAAATTGAAATGTATAAATGTACTCCAGGACTGCGGGCCAAGGAGAAACAGTAATAAAGAGAGTAGATTTGCACAATGTCATCCAAGTGTCAGGGCTTTGTATGTGTGTGTTTGTGTGTGTGTGTGTGTGTGTGTGTAGGTCAGCATGACTCCTGAGAAGGAAGATGGAGATGTCTGGCCCCTCAGCTGCCTCCCCTTGGCTCGCCTGTATCATTACCCTCTGACTGTGGTGATAGATGTAAGAAAGGCCCCCAGCCTGCCTGGCTCACAGTACAGGAAGCAGCTCAGGTCATTAGAGGGCGACCGTGGCAAAATAAAATCTGCTTTCCTCATTTCCAGTAACCAGCAGAGCTTAAACATCCAGTCCAACCATCATCGTGACTGAAACCTGTGACTCAACATTGTGAAAGGAACAGTTGCATTAGAGGGAGATTTATTTTTTTCTTGTAATTTGTCTGACATGTAATCATCAACGCTTTTAGAGGTGTACTTGGTAATAAGGTTTGGTTATTATTTTTATTTCAATGTTAATCATTAAATCAAAAGAGTTCCTTTTGATCAAAGGACTTCTGATTTAAATGAGCTTCCTATAAAGTTAAATGAGCGTGCTCATTTGGTTCCTTTCACACAAGCTGTGAACAAAGACAAGAGAAGATGAGCATAAAAAAGGTTGTGGAAATCTGGGAAGAATATTATGCTTATTAATGCAGCGCCGACAGGGAATCAGAACTAAATGGTGTACGTGCTTCCCAGTGTGCATGTGCAAACGTACTGTACACAAACACACCACACAGCGAGTCTAATGGGGAACTTATCGAAGCTGGCAGCACGAGGCTCATCTCCAGGCTGCTCTGTATTGGTGAAATAAAACTCTGTTACTAAGCAGGCGTTCCGTGTTGTTGCACATTACCATCTGCTACTATCCGTTTGCTTTAAACAGTGTGGGAAGATTGGATCTTTTCTGCGTGCATGTTTCTTTCTCCCTCCGTACTTCCCACCATGTGTGATCTGTGAACATCTCCAAAAATAATCTTTCATTACATGGATCGCGGCATAGCTAATTATCACATACAGATCTCATGATAACATCAAACCCAGGTAATGCTTAAGGATGGCTGATTGCTTTTTTTGTTTGTTTTTTTAATGAAAGGATTAGAAATTGTAATCAAACTGATGTTTCGGGGATGTGGGAAATAATAGGGAGATATTTTTCATGTTTGGACTCTGCATTATGAACTCTCCTGACATTAAATTTTGAGACTACATTTTAGTTTTAATCGTTTCCTTTTTGTCGAGTCCTAAAAAGCCACAAAAAATGCAATTGAAGAACAAAATTTGTAGACTTACTTCTAGAATTTAACTGGTAGTGAATTTATGGACTCTCTATGGACCAGCTGCAATTTAAACCAAGTACCAACACAAATACACCAAGTTTACACCAAATTATCACAAATATGTTAAAGCTTAGGTTTTTTGCAGTTTAAAAAACCTCCACTAAGTCAGCGCTACAGACGGCTGTCCCTCCCCGAGCCTGCTTCTGCTGGAGGTTTTTGCTGTTAAAACGGAGTTTTTCTTTCCCTCTGTCACCAAGTGCTTGCTCATAGAGGGTCGTCTGATAGTTGGGGTTTTCACTGTATTATTGTAGCGTCTTTACCTTACATTGTGCATTGAACCGACTGTTGTCATCTTAATTCCTTTAAGCTTCCTTGTTGCTTTTTCCACATGGAGTAATTAACACACACAAAATATGTCAGTCAGATTATTTCAGTTTATTCTAGACTGTTGCAACCTTGGATTATATTCATTCTCCTGAAGCCTAAATGAACATTTCTGAAAAATATATAACATCATAACGATTTGTGACCTTACACAAAATGTTGTGCTACTTTAACTGGTGCTGGTCCTCCACCGGAAAACTCTCAATCACTAAAATAACCACTTCTGAAAGACAACCCATCAATGTGCCTTCTTTTTAACAGAGTCTTCAGTCTGCTACTGTTAAGTGACTCATCCACAGAGACAGATGTTTCTGGATTTAAATCACAATGGTGTTCCCACTGAATTTTAATGAATAGCACAAAATGGGCCAATCGAACACCCGGGGAGTGTTACCTTTTACCAAAGACTGTTATGAAAATCAATTCCCACATTTTTATTGGAGCCTCATGTCTTGTCTTGTTTAAAGAGCTTGAAAGGACTGTTAATGCAGTTTTGTTCTCCGCAGCCAAGAAGGGTAATGGTGTACCTTGGCAGTTTTGCCAGGGTGGCACAGAGGCAGCACTGAGAGGAAAACACTTTAATTAGAACATGCTGTTTATTTCAGGACTTTTCAAGAGCAAATCTGACATTTGAGAGATTTCACAGAGCCAAACGGAAAAATATGGCTTCTAGCGGTGCTGTAGTTTTTGTTTATTATTATATCCATTCCTGGATATTTCCAGAAACTTTTCATTTATATGACCATCTGCGCACATCCCTACTTTTCCAGCCAGGCCATGGATTCTTCTACTAGAGCTACAGCACACTGAACATCATTTTTCATATGCTGCAGATTCCCTGGAAGGCAGCTCTGTGTAATTACCCCAAAGGCCTTTGAGAACCACAGTAATAGACTGCACACATCTATGATATCATGCATGAAATCATCCAGGTCTAAAAAGAGGTCTTGGAAAAACGGACACACATATATGCATGTACACACAGGCACACAGACAATGCCTTAATTTCTGTTGACTCATAATTCACACATGTCACTACACTTCTCTCTGCCTGTAGTGCGACACTGCATTTCAGTAGCAGTGTGGCTAAATCAGTGGCCCTGGTAGTGAGAAACCCAGTAAAGCGATGGCTAACACAAAAAAGCTCAGCGTGAGATGGCATCTCTGTATGCAGGCACCGTCTCCCAATGGCTATTGATGAGGGAAGACAATGAATATTCTCATTAACACATAGAAACGGAAAGTCTCCTAACATGCAGAAATGCAAGAACATTAATGTCAATACACATACACAGCTCAAGGTAAATTAAACTACAGCTGTTCCTCAGGCACAGCAACTCCCGTAGGTGACAGAGTTAGATTGAACCCATTATTACAGCTGGATCTGGGAGACAAGGAGTCCAGTCAAAAAGACAGACTCAATCGGACTTTTTCAAAGTTCAAAGTCAGAGGAGATACATATAGATTACTTTTCTGTCTGTGTCTCTTTATGTGCTTGTGTGGCCACGTATTTTTTCAAGTATGTGCAGAGTTAGTGTGTGTTTGTGTGCGTGCATGCCTGTGCCACTTCTTCCTTCCATAATCAATTTCCTCAGGGACGTGCCAAGGACATGGGTGTAGACAGTTTGATTTGTAAAGCTTGAACAGGAGGGTGTCTGAGAGCCTGGGTGCCAGTCCACCTGAGCCCAACAGGATGACGTCAGTAACACCTTGAGAAAACCTTGACATCTCATGTGTGCACTTTTAGAAAAAACAAAAACAAAACAATTATGTGGAAAATGTTGCATCAATAACATAGAAAATGTGAATGAATGTGCATGACTACTGAGATTTCGTCAACCACAGGCTTTTGACAGCGTGGTGAAAACTATCTGTAAGATGCATAGAGGCACTAAAGCTATTCTTCACTTTAAATAAAGACAAAGAAATGGTGGAATGACTTACGTCAGTCAGGGCCACAGGCACAAGGAAATATGTGTTTTGACTCAACGAGAAGAGACGAAGAAAAAAAGACATGAATACAGATCACGGACAAAAAGAAAATTTCAGCTGTTGGTGGAATGTGTCATCAGAGCAGTTGTCAAGAGACAACACACACAACATGCGAGGAGTGCGACATGAAAACTGATTTCCTGAAAATAACAGGGGCTGTGATAGCATATTGTGAGACATGATGTGAATATAATAGCATAATGAGTCTATTTCTGTTCACAAGTATGGCAGCCCTTTTCTCTTTTTAAATCCGCTTTTGCTCCATCTATCTTACTGGATCATCAACTTGCTAAATACTAAGGGCTACATTCATCCCACCATCATGTTAGGGAATGGTGATAATTGCCAGATTTGTTATAAATGCAGTGATGTAACTTGTTTGGTGTGCTTAATTGCCTTTGAAATCCACCTGTGTTAGAATTATACTGTGCTGCAGCTGCTCTGTGGGGACCGCGCTGGCTAAATGAGACTGATTATAGAAACAAACTGAGCTTTGGCCTGCCTCTCTGCGTTTGGTGGAGTGGCTGTATACTTTTCATTTTAACTAATCTCAGGTTAGCTACTAGTGTAGGTGGTTTGTGTGCCAAGGTAAATGTAGAGGTGCCCTATGATTCTTTATGTCCAATAAATGTCAGTCACAGCTGGCAATTGTTGGTCAAAAGGTTTCTGTGTTGTTGTTGTTTTTTAAAAAGACAGCTTGTTGCCATTTTAAACCTTCATTTATCAAATAAACACTGTCCTCTTTATCCCAAGGCAATGAATGTGTTTAATTTAAGTTAATATGAACATTAGCGGATGCTAGCAGTTATTTGCTGTCCCAAAACTGAATGTCACTGACTTCAAATAGACAGCTGAAAACAACCAAGTTATTTCCCAGTAAATTAGATGTAATGGAAAATGATAGTATTGGAATGACAGTGATATATCTGGAAATTAGAGTGTAATATGCAAGTATAGTCACTCTTACAAACAAGTTGTTATAATTTATTATTGCTGAATAATATAAATCATTATTTTTATAATTGGTGATTAAATTATTCTGCATATGGATTTAAATGATGTTTTTAGCTCTGAGTGGTAGTGCGACAAACATTTATATTGTAGATTACAACGGCAAATATGTCAACGTTTTTTTACACAACCATCTATCTATCTATCTATCTATCTATCTATCTATCTATCTATCTATCTATCTATCTAGTGACAAGTGGAGGACATACAGACTCAACAAACAAGGGATATAATGAGTGTGAGAAGGTAAGCTGACACCAATTAAATTGAAAAACCATTCTTAACTCAAGTAATAGGACATTTGTTACAGTGGATGTGGGTGATTCAGCAACCCATGATGAAAGAGGGACCAGCTGGGAGATGCTGCTTCGTGTTCGTTGCAATCCCACTGGAGGCAACAGGGGTGTGAATATGAGAAAACAGCTGAAGAATACAGATGGATAGCCCATCCCATTATGGATCATTTTAGCTTCCTATGAGCCAAATACTGTAACTGCTAATGTGAGTGTGGAATAGTATATGCATATATATTTTTTTTATTGTGCTTTTAGAATTTTTTTATGGAGGTTGTAACAGTATAAAAGTTGTTAAAGTGGTTTTACGAGTTGCTTCATAAACATTATCTTGACTTAAAATCAACATAAACCATATGCTACAAATCATAATGAACTGATGTGTCATAGAGAGTGTGCAGCCAAATAAAAGGGGCAAAAGTCCCTTTATCTAACTGCAAAATAATGTCCTTGGCACTGCAGACACAGTCACACAGTCAAGTTCAAAATCCAAACTTCCAAGCTCTGTCACATCAAATAGGCTCACTGGTGGGGAAGAAAAGGGAGCAATGGAGAGAAAGAGACAGAGAGATTTGCTCACCCAGGCCCTTCTAATCTATTAGTCTGGGCTGCATGTCAACTCCATTTGAGCAAACACACCTAAGTAAGCTCGATCCCACAGAGACCGCCGCTGTTCAGCTGGTGTGTCCACTGCAACATTTCTAAATATGCTGGTTCTGGTTCTGGATTAGCTTTCCTCCATAACACTGTTGTATTCTGTATTCCAGTCACATCTCTGTGTGCAGCGACGCACTGAGTACCCATAGCCCAGCCTGTGTCGAGGCTTAAGGAGAGTGCAGTGGAGTGAAGACACAACAACAGGACCTCTGCAGTCCTTTAAGCAACCCACCTTCTGGGAGACTGTCGTGATGCTCTCACCAGCGCTCTTGGGACCACAGGTGGGAGCAATGCTGTCTGTTTGAAACAGATGGTGGCGATTGCTTTCTGCTGAAATGTCACACCAATATTCCTTGCGTAAAAGATTGGATTACTCTGTATCTCAGAGCCACTGGGGACTGATGCATCATTTGGAGGAGCTCATTATTCTTTCATGGACACTTTTTAGTACTTAAAATGCACGCATGCACACACACGCACACACACACACACACACACACACACACACACAACGCATGCACACACACACACACACACACACACACACACACACACACACACACACACACACACACACACACACACACAAACACACACATACGCACACACACGCATACACCTTTTCCCAGTCAGACCCAGGAGAGGACTCTCATGCATTCACTCATAAGGTCACCATTAATTTAGCTTCTCAGACTTGTGGAGATGGTGATGGATGGCTGATATTTCCTCAGAAAGCACACTTTGTTGTGGATGCCAGGAAAAGGCTTTACTCCATCAGTCAGCTAGGAATCAGATTTTCTTTTATCCAGGGGCATGAATCTATTTGCTTCTGTCTGGTGGTGCCACTGGGCTCAAAACACAACAAAGAGAATGACATCTGAGTGGGTGTGGAGTTAATGACATTCTGTCACAGCTGATATGGTGTAGACTCCGCTAAGGACTCATCCCCTCCTTCAGACGTGATGGGAGGAAGCAAAGACAGAAAGGATCTAAAGTATATTCCCCCATCACTGCAATTGTGCTTTCTTCTTTTCAAAAACGCTGTTCTCACTCATTGTCACACACTTAGCCATAAAATCACTTGTACTGCTCTTAATTCCTCTTCTTTTTCATATTTTTCAGAACGTTTTGTTATTTTCCTTCCCATTTCACTATTTTTTTTTAACACTTAAGTTATAGGTTTCAAATCTTTAGTAGGTGTGTACTCATTTCAGGAAACCTCAGCCAATGCTTTCAAAAACCTTTTAAAAAGAGAACACATCATCTTGAACAGCTGCATCTTGAACTGTAAAGGTTTCTAGACACACCCTCACCATGAACCTAATGACCCATCCATTCAGTCTAATGTCATTTTTCTCTGTCATCTTTTCCTTGTCACACTGAAAAAGGAAAAACTTCAGGCAGGCAGGGAGTTCCTGTGGAGAAATATAGCAGTCTTTTAACAACAACTCACTATTTCTGCTCTAAGTCAAGTTGATGTGCGTCTTCTGATAAAAGTAAGGTATGGCAGTTGGTAGTGGCAGGTTGTAACCACTATATGTGTGGATGGGGGGGTACAGACATAGAAGTAGAAGTACAAATAAGAGTGTTTAAAAATACTCCAGTAAACGCTGAAGTACTGATTCATGAAATGTACTCAAAGTAAGAAACTAAAAAGTAGCTCTTCGGAGGACGTGTTTCTATTCAATTCAATTCATTTCAGTTCAATTACTTATATAGCACCAAATCACAACAACAGTTGCCTCAAGGTGCCAGCTATTTTTGTTAAATTAATGTAATAATAAATAATATAATACATGGGAATACAAATTTTATTTTAGCCTAAATTTTAATTCTAAGTAGTGAAAAAAAAAATCTCTATTTTCTGTTTCCTGCATTGTCGCGGGTGACTTTGACTCTAAACAGGAAAATGAGTAGCCTAAAAAAATACCTCAAATCGGTTGAAATGGCTCATCGTGGGGAAAAGAATCACAACTCACAATAATTTTGATTGAGTGGTCCAACTGTAACTTATGGACACCTGCGGTTGTTGCGGTGTTGTGCCAAAAAAATAAATAAAACAAAATAAAAGCAGCCCACTATAACCCTTGACTATTGTACAAGGTTTTGCCTCTTTCATCTCTTTTTTTGTGACATCCTCTGGTGATTAATACACAAACAGGATTGCATTGCACGCGTTACTGCTAAGGTTCAAATCGGTTTGATGTTTGAAGGCTCGCAGTGGTGTGAAGTAATAACTCGCCTCAAATATGTCAAGTCAAAAGTAACTTGTTTTGAAAGTGTAACTCCAGGACAAACAATCTGGCCACCTGTCATCTGTGACGAGTGTAGGCTGTCAGTCAGCAGTTTACCTCAGCTATACATATATATCAGCAATACAGTATGTGACCATATTTTCAGCTGAAAGTATCAATACAAGGTGATTTAAGTCAGTGAAGGTCACTTCTGTTTAATGCCATCGATACGGAGACGGGTTGTTTAGGATGTCCTAAACTTCGATGTCAGTAAGCACTGCTGCTTTAGCCACTGTTAGCTACTGTTAGCCACTGTTAGCTACTGTTAGCCACTGTTAGCTACTGTTAGCTACTGTTAGCCAGCATTAATAAAACTTTGTTTGCACAAACAAACAAACTCTCATAGAATCACACTATTTATTAAAGGGAAAGTGTGATTTTTAGGAGACTTGAGCCTAACAAAGCTTATAATCAGATGGTATTTTTGTTTAGCTGACTCCAAGAAAGCTGGTTCTTTTCATCTGGACTTTGCATTTTCCAGCTGAAAATGGGATTTCTGGAATTTCCTTACCTGGACGATTGAGATGGACATGGGAGTGTTGCATATCTAAGCTGCTGCCAATAAAAAATTGCGACAATATCGGGGTTAAAATAACTTATTTATGCTTTTATATTATATTTATTTATGTTTTTGTGTGCTACAAGCATACTACAAATTTTCAATATTTAGCCACATACATAAAACCCAATTAGGCACAACAGTGCCGTCCATCTCACCCATTGTATTCAAGATAGCATTGCAACAGTCTTCCACAAACCAGCGCCCTCGTCTGTGTATTTTTAATGAATAAATTGTAAGTTCATGAGAATGCATCAATTTGTCTGAAGAAGTAATTACACTCTAATCAATGTTTATGAGTAAAAAAATGTTTTTTTTTTTCAATTTATTAAACTTTTAACTAGGCCATAACACAGTATCATGCAAATTCTGTAATAACCAGATGAAAACATGAGTGAAGTTGCTAAAGTAAATAAATGCATATCCCATGCCATAATACTTAATACTTACATAAAACTAAAACAATGTAAAAGCAGACTAAAAGTATATAGCCATTAAATGCTCAACCACAGGCCTTTGTTTTTATGTCATCTGACTTTCTTCACTCTTTTCTATTCATTTACAAGGCAATATTGTTACTACTTAATTTATCAAGTTTTTATTCCAAGACTTCCCTTTCATTTCTACTGTCCAATAACAATCCTAGTAATAATTAAAATGCTTATAAAATATGAAGTCTTTTACAGTGTAGTCCATTTTGCTTCAGAAAATTGTTTTCGAGTATGCAGCTGCAACCAAGCTTTAAAATCTTTTGGAGCTGATAATATTGTCTTTGAATGACAAGTTTTTCACAACAATGAGCTCAACTAGCAAAGCTAATTTAGCTCAGTGTAATTAAAATGTAAGAGTTGCAATTAGTAACAACAAATATGTTCTCATAAATAGAGCCGCAATTAAGCTGTAGAAGTTCTGGATGTTGTGCACAGCATTCCCAAACACCGTCGTATCACTGTCAAATTAAATGTGACACCTTTGTAGAATAATTACACAAAGCAATGAGAGGATGACACTCATGTCCGTGGTACTGCTTTCAGTGGCATTTGCAGAAGACGCTGCTTCAGGGTTTAT